ATATATATATATATATATATATATATATATATATATATATATAACGCTATATCCGAGCGATTCAACCTGCTTAGCTAAATAGGTTTCTTTTGGGTATTAATTTTAATGGCAAAACAAGGAATAGAAGCAGATTAAAAAGCAAAAAAATGACTCAATTGCGATTTTCTAACTTAAAAAAAAACAATATGTGGTATTAAGCCAGCATAAGTGAATAGTGCTTTTACATTTGCCATTTGCATGGGGTGAGAACAAGCACAAAGATAAATATCCGTCCGTTTTTTAGACTATTTGGAATCGTTTAGATGTTTTTAGAACGCATTTTTAACGAAGCATTCTAAATAGCAATACGGCGTATGTTGTAGCTGGTAAATACGAACAAGACGTTGCCATCGCATGGCTCTCAATGATCTACATGATAATCTACATCCCGGTGATCGTTCCGGCCACTTGGATTCTCAACCGCTACGGCCTGCGCGTGTCCATTCTCATTGGAGCCATCCTAAATGCGGTCGGAGCGTGGTTGAAGTGTTTGTCAATGGAGTTCTCGCAGCCCTCCAGCACTGCGGCCTCAGCAATGGGCTCGTCCTCCTTCCCAATCCTCATGATCGCCCAGGCAATTTGCGCCACTGGCCAGACCCTGCTGCTTGGCGTGCCCGCTCAGCTTGCTGCTACGTGGTTCGGCAAATCTGAACTCGCACTAGCCACATCTATCGGAGTGTTTGGCAATCAGGTACTAGCCTATCGTGCTTTGAGGTCTGATCAGAACATGGCGCTGTCAATCCGCTTAATTTATTTTTAAAAAATCGCGCTCTTCTACAAGAATGGGATGAAATAGCTCAATCAGTCGCATTTTTAGGCTGCTAGAATTTTAAATAGCCATTACTTAATTGAAAGATTTTTGTGTTTAATTTAATCTTAGCCCTTGTCATGCGTCAATGCATCTAAGTCAGTGACGCGCAGACTGTAATACGCAGTGTGCTTGTGACTTGTCACTACTCAAGTCATGTGTTGCGTAAGCGCCGTTCGTTTACTGGCGACGGATGTTGACACGCAAGATACACACAAACATCGACGTGGTTTGACGTGGCAATGGTTTCTCAAGGGCCCACTTCTTATTCACAAAAGACTGCACTTTTAATCGACGACATCCAGGTGCCCAACCATTTGACATCGTCGCGTTTTGGCATTTTCCACCCCTCTTTGTGCAACACCTCTAACTGGCCAATTGGATTTTAAGCTTTTGGGTAACCTTGAACTCTACTCACGTGGTTGGTGGCTTGCAATCTGAAGAAGCTGATTCGTGCTAGATTCAGTTGACAATCCTTGTGCATCCCACCAGTTAAAAGTCGCCACCCAATTTAAAAAACGCCACCGATTATATGTCACCACTGTGACGGACGCCAGAGATCGATTTTGAAATCCCGCCCGAGCCTAGTAGAACATCGGAAGAAATGTCAGGAGTCGGCTTAGGCCTAATTGCTTCCTCCCACACACAAATGGGGGCCTTCGAAAATGCTCATTTCAGTGCATTAAGTAGTAATTTAAAAAGCAGTCACTGCTAACGGGGTTGTCATGGCATATTTAAATAGTTTTATTGCCCGGAGCAGTGCAATAATCCCACACAAACTCAGTAACATGAGTAAATTCTCAACCTCACGACGCCTTGCACTTATTCTGACCCCTTTCCGCCTGTGTAGGAGGTCGTGCGAAGTTGTCTTATGAGAGTTTACACTTCAGAGGTCATTCCTCCCACGTTCATTTCCCATTTCCAAGCCTTCTTGTGTCAAAGAGCCAGTCTGGTGCCAACACGAGTCTTCAACTAGCCTAAATCGATAATGCGCGCGGTTAGGAAAGGGCGTAGAAGTCACTCCGTTGCACTCCACACCACGCCAGATTTGTGCGTTTTTGCGCGGTTTTGCTAGGTGTGCCGTCAACACCTAATGCCAAAAATCGGCGTGATTGCTTACTGAAGAGGTTTGACTCAGTCGTGAGTTTATGCGTCCCCGCTATTCACCTCAGGCTGAATGACGCCTCGGCGAAACCACTCCAACTAATCACACGCCTGTTGTTGGTGCTGTAATTTCAGGTTGGCTGTGCACTCGGCTTCGGCCTGCCACCCTTGATGGTACCATCAGTGGACTTCTCCACCCCAGCCACCTTCGACAGCCAATTCGACAGTCTGAAGAGGGGATTTCGCATACTCTTCTACGGCGGTGCCGCTATCATGACCCTAGACTTACTCCTCGTGACTGCCTGTATGTGATTTTACTTGCAAATTGCCGTAAGCAGACCTACTTTTGGAAAAACTTTACGACACCAATTGTCGCACAGCTTGCTTCGAAATTTAAGCACCCGGCTTAGTGAGGCGAAATAGGCAAGCAGAATGTTACCAAAACTACATGCATCATGAGCCACAAATTTCCTGGTTGTGCAACGGTCGCCTCAATCGAGGGAGTGTTTTGGTTGGCTGTTCTTGCCTCATCAAAACCTACTTCAAAAATATGGCATTTAGGCTATGTAGCTCGATAGTCTTTTCACTTAACGTAATGTATGGAGAGGTTAATTACGGACTAGGTGAAATATCTTCGAGGCTTATTCGACAACCACTGGGATCAGTTGCAAGTGTGTCGCTGTGAAAAAGGATCTATGTCGGCCAATTAAAATAGGGCAACCCAAACCTACCCGAGCATATGAATTCGTAGCTTTCCCACCGACGTTCTGTGTTTCCAGGTAGATCAACCACACGCCCGATTTGAGCTCTCTCCCTCTTGTTTAGTTTTCAGAAAGGAGCCAAAAATTGCGCCGAGCCGGGCCCAGTACAAACGGATCCTTCAGCGTCGCGGTCAGCTGGCGGGAGATCATCCGACTGGGGATGAGGTCAACTCAGATTCTCGTGCGTGTTTGTCATGCGCGTCTAAGTTGTTGCTTCGGCCCTAAAGCGCGTTTCGGAATTAATTGTGGTAACATGTGATCCGATATGTCTTGAATTTTCGCCTTCATCACACTGCCAAATTATTGTTGTGCTCAAACTTCTACTCTATTTTCGACTTAGCCACGAAAGCAAACGGAAACCACCCTAGTGCGTGTTGAGTCCATCGGCAGTCGCTTTTTCCTTCTCGCAATTAGAAGGCGCTCTTTTTGTTTTGTCATTTCAGAGCAAGAAGTCAGTGATAAAATCACATCAGAAGTGTCAGAACTGGCAAAACAAAGCTACTTCCACCAAATCAAGTTTAGTTTCAAAAGCCTCAGTTTCATCTGGCTCAACATCTGCTACGGTACGTTCTTGCTGCTGTGCCTGGCCTTTGGCCAGATTTGCGGACATTTTCCTGCCCTTAAAAGACATTTCACAGCCCATAGAAGGCTTTCTTAAAAACGCGTTCGCATTTTCTTTCTCCTCTCAAGGTGTTAACACTGGCGTCTACTACGAAATCGGCACTCTTTTGAGTGTCATCTTGTTGGAGTACTTCCCGGTGGGTGTAACCTCAAAGATGTGTTAATTCTTTTGTATTTCGGCCCTTATTTTGTTGTCTCTAACCTCTAGCCAAAATTATCACTCTTTTCCTCATTCTAAAATACTAATTCCACAATGGATCATTGGTGACGCTTTTTGTGAGTTGGAGCCTGATTGAGTGCATCCGCACTCATCGCTACTACTACTACTAACAATTTTCTCTTCCCAATCCAAGTAGTATAAAGCTTCTTAGTTTGAACCGATTGCGCAACCCACTTGCACTGTTTGGGGACATCTGATTGGTGTAGGACAATAGCCAATCAGACTCCGCCATTGGTTGGCATGTTTTTGTGCAGTGTGCAGTTGGCCGATGCTGCAAAGTGGCTACACGCCAAGTCAACGCCTCTTATGGCATAGTTGTTGGTTCCTAAAATTTCATCAGATTTAAGCTGGTTGTGCTTCCGCAAAAGTGTGCGCATTATCTGCCCTCATAATCAGCCAGGACTTATTAAAAATCGACTAAGTGTCAAGAATCCTTCACAGAGAGGTCTAACTGAGTGTAATTTTGTCTCCCACTTTGACATCCGACTTCCAGTGTAGTTGGCCTGGTAGGATCTAAGCGAATCTGGGTTAAATTTATCGATTTAAGCTTGCCACAACCTCTGCCATCATTAACCCGATTTTTCCATGGAATGTGACCATTACTAAGAATAGATCCTAGCTGTCTTGATTAGATCCTAATGCCAAGATATAGTCAAACGTTAGGCGGGAATATTTACAACTCAAAACTAGTGTTTACTTTAGGCATTTATGTTTCATCAAATGGCGACCCGACATGTCTGACTTGTAAATCGATATCTGAATTTCGACCAAAGGAAGTCCTTATTAAGCACTTTTGAACAAGACAAATCTTTTTTTTAAAGCAGATTAAATATCAACGCACTAGATCACGATTAAGGATTAGTCAAAAATCTATGAGACAAGCCCTCGGGCACGTTCAAGGCATTTCGTCAGTGGTGTTGAACAGTAGATTGGCTACTGCAGAAGACCTCATTCCACCAAATCGCCAAGCGTGGAATCAAGCCTAATTATTATTCATTAAAACGCTGCTATTCCTACTTGATTTTCCCATTTCGTGTTTGGCAGAGAAAATTTTGCAATCGCACTATTATTACGACAGCTTCTGGTTTGTAATGAGGTGGAAGGCGTTGGCAGGCAACACCAAGCGCCTCCCACGTGAGGTGTGTCACGACATCACGAGTTCTCCTTGCAAGCACGTCAAAATGGCGTTTTCATCATCATCCCTCCCTTTCCCCGATCCGTAGACTGAGCAAGTGGCGATTGGCTGGGTCGGCTTCAGCATGGTTATCGCTGGTCTCATTGGCTCCATCGTCGCCGGTATCGTGCTCAAGAAGACCGGTCTTTACAGGTACGTGGGCTGACATTGACTGCATTTATTGCACTTTTGCGTGAGTTACCACTGGGTGTTTGAATCGATTTTCTACAGATTTTCAGCAAATACATAAAAGCATCGATCTCCGTGGCCTTGCGCCATCTCTCACGTTACGTACGAATGTTGTCGTGAGAGGAACTTACAGACTACGAGGTGATATTATCATCTTCGACGAAATTACACACATCGTGAAGCGTTTCAGGAGCTGTTCATCCACTAAGGCTTGCTCTTGCATTGACAGCATCAAAGGGTAGTTTGATAGGACCAAGTCTGGTGAATATGCCACATGTTGAAGTAGCTCAAGACGGTCTTGTGTGTCGCTAATTGAGCAACGTGAGGTGGTCGAGCGTTGTCATGCAACATCAGCAGTACGACTTGTCAGCTTCCTTGCTCAGTAAATGTCTTTTTCTGATTAAGTTCTTCGCTCAATTTGTTCAGCTGTCGTCTGTTGAGTTGGGCATTTTCCAGAAATCCGCACTTCCAGCTGACCTGCAGACACTTACTGCGTTTGTGTTGAGTTCTCATCCACTAGAGCTTGCACTTCCCCATCTTCAATCCTTCGAGACTGTTGTCCCGGGCGCGGCTGGTCCCTAAGATCGATATTACCACAGCCAAAACATTTGTATCAATGATTACACGTATCATAAGGCACATCATCAGCACCAAGAACACTGCTATCACGAACTTTCCCATTCTGAGTGGTAATTTAATTCGCATAGATATGTCGTTTGGTGCTTTGGAACCGTGCGTCCCATCCTTTCAAAACCACAAAAGACCGTGGAAATACTTTGCTTGTAAATGCAATTTTGAACTCTTAGAAAACGCCGATTCGACGAGGTCCGGTGTGTCGAGTGCTCACCTCTGTGATTAGCAATGTGCGTTTCCATGTACAAGCGGCCATCGTCTAACCCTGACGTGTCTTATTTGCTGTTTTTTAGACGAGTTCTGATAGTCTTCTACTTCCTCAGCGTTGTGACCATGGGCGCGTTCACGGGCAGCGTGTTTAGCTACTCAATCGCCTTCGTCTTCGTCACGATGATCCTCCTAGGGTAAGTGGCGACATAATTTATGCGTGAACTCGATCCACTTGATGTTCCTACAAAAAAGGCAACCTTAAACCGCCAGGAAAACTGATATGGAGGGCTACCTTAGCACCACAGCGCTCCCAGCACATCCTGAACCTTTCAGGCAGACCTGTGAGCTAAATACAGCTTGAATGAGGCTCTGTTTCACACTAGACACTACTTGGCCGACTTCTACTGTCTTTAAGAAATGATATTTTTAGAGTAAAACACAGCTTTTTCCCTAAGCTTGACTCTGTTGGGGAAATGTGGAGAGGTGGCCCCCTTTGGAATCTGCGTCATTTGCGACTGATCGCTCTGTTTGCAGGTTCTTCCAGTCCGGTTTCCTTCCACTTGGTTTCGAATACGCGGCGGAAATCACGTATCCGGTGGACGAAGGCCTCTCCTCGGGCATTCTGAACACATCGGCTCACGTGAGTTCCTCCTCTCCACTCGAATGCCAAAAAAAGAGGCACAGAGTGTTTTAGCCGACTTTAAACAAACTGTGTTAACATCGATGCTGCACGAGCATTTCTTTTTCCCCCCACAAAGCTGGGATTATGCAGGCCAAATGACTCATCCAGCGAAAACTGAGATCTTGCCACCCGAGAAGGGTGGATCACTTAGCAGCCAATCACAGTTAAGTGTTGTTTTGTTTACGGTGTTCTTGTTTGCTTCTCGTAGATATTTGGCGTCATCCTTACACTGGTGGCAACTGCACTCGAGGGCAAATACGGCGGTTTATCTGCAAACCTCTTCATGCTTGTTTCAATGGCTCTCGCGGCGATTCCTGCATGTGAGATTGACTTGCTCTCGTTGATATTTCGATTAGTACCGAATTTCCAGGCTTCTGGAAATTTCAGGTGGACCAGATAAAAAACGGCAAGAGGGAGTGCTTTTGCGTCACTGTTCGAAGAATGGCTGTAACTGCCCCACCTGTCCATGAATGGCCTGTGATAAAATTGCGCGCTCTTTAAAAACTTTTTGTATGGACAGAATCATCCAATAGGCGATTCCTGGGCGTCAGCGCGACCTGATTGGTCCGTTTTGCTCCACTTAGCGTAACTGTTCAGCCTAATGCCATCCACCTGCAGTCTTCACTACACACTGTTGTAGACAGAACCCATGTGACGTCATCGCGCGGAAGTTGTTGCCCTCAGAGTAGGCAAATCGGATTATTTGCACATTTCAACACACCAGTTCCTTGTTGATTGAGCGTTGATTGGTTGCCTCGTCAACTATAGTCCACTTTTAGCCGGGATTTCGATTCAGGCAGTTTAAAAGATAACACAGCTATGCTACTTAAATGCTCTTCACTAATCGTGACCTTGAGTTACTTTTCTAAACAGGTTTCATGAAGGACGACCTGAGACGCCAGCGGGCGCACGAAAAAGTAAGCACCGATTATTAGCAACTATTCGATTAATTTATAATTCACAAAAAGCTCTCATTCGTCACAGTGGTGTTGTGGAAAGATCCAGGTTGCCACAAAATGACCTCCTGTCCTGGCTTTTTAGATGGTAATTGAAGTTGAAGGTAAATCAGATGAGGAAGACGGAGACGATGTGACCACGAGTAAGATGGAACAGGTTTAGGGTCGGATTTTCACCTGCTCTCGACTAACACTTGGACGCTAGTGCCCTCGATCGTGTATATTTTATCCCACATTCCAATGCCTTGTAAATTTTTAAAAAAACGAGATTTTTTTGGACGAAATGGGTTTGTTTTAACGGTGTTCATGGGACATGGCCGCGTGAAAATGCCTTGTTTAGTTGGCATGTAAGTAATTTCGGTTGATGCGAATAGTCAGTAAGGAGTTTATATCGTCATGTTTTTGATGTATTCCTTTTCGTGTCTAATTAGTGGAATTTAATTTAATTTAATGTTGCAAAATGACAAGGAAGCTGAGAAGATCTTGCCTAATTTTGGATAAATTTCCTAATGGTCCACCTGTCTAAACCGGTAATTGCAACCCAAAACTATGTTTAAACCAGATAAGGTGTTAAACACAGCACACCCACGCGCAGCTTAAAATGTTTTTTTTCAGTCCTTTCCGAAGACGGATATTTTTATTCCGCGCTAATCAGATTAAATTCACCTGACACCGGTGTACCAGCAGGTTTGAGATTTGTGTGATCGAGGATTCTGCGATTCAGAGCAGGTGACCTACACCCACATCGTGATTCTGTCAAGTTGTCCGTTTACAGAGTCCTCCCGTATGTTGACTTAATCAAACAAGCTGAAGGTCGCTCAAAACAAACGATTTTTACAATCACCAGCATCTTGGAAGGCGGCACAGATTTCCCTAGTTCCAGTTGCAGAAATAAACGGGACTTGTGGGCGAACAAATGAGTCATTTGCTGCCTGCTCTCCTTAGTATGATCGCCACCATAACCAACACGCGCGCTGATTGGCTGGACTAATGCTTGCGAATTATGCTATTGGCACTTATTGAGAAAAAATTGGAAGCAGAAAGGGCGTAGGTCCCATTCAAAGATTTCTAATTTTCAAGAAATTATCAATGGTTCATTTAGCATTGTTTTAAATTATCCATGATTTTGGTGGTAATTGGAATGTACAAAGGTGGAAACCTATTTCTCAACAGTCGAATTTATTGCAACAAAAAAGCATCAAAGGATTTCTTGTAGTATTTTTCCTCAGCATCAAATGACATTATTATTGCTTTGGTAAAGGAACCGCTACATTGGGCGACATCTGCTCTTGTTATTCATTTCCAAAACTCCCTCACTGTTGCGCATGACGGGCAGCAGAAGTGGGTGCATTGGCACTGAAGACTTATTTTATTGCGATAGCCTAAAATTAAGCCCGCAGTAAGCCACTAATTGCGCACTAGCCAAATCGTTGCCCAAGCAAGGTAATTGTATTTACGGTGCGTCCATTAATTAAAAAAACAGCAGTCATCGCTGGCTTTTATTAGCAATGAAACTCAATATTTGGTGAACGGTGAGCTTAGACAACGACTTTGATTGCAACAGACACAAGAATGAATCTCGGATTGGCTTAGACAAGTTGTAATCAAGAAATTTGTTCGCTGTTTGCGTGGTTCTTACGTGGTGGCTGCGCAGGCTTGCTGAATTTACACAAGACCTTTCTTTTGTTCATCTCGAACTTTTGTTTTTTTAGCTATTATTATGTAAAACAATGCTTGTGTGAACACGTGACACGCATCGTTCATGCTAATATGAAATTTTAATAATTTCTCAATTTCATTTGGAGTATCGTATTACCGCCTCGAAGGAAGGATGCTGAATCGTCTACTCCGAATGTATACTCGTTTATTTCCAAACCTGCTTCTTCCACTTTGAATTTTTTAATGCATCACTAAATGCTACTTTTAAAGTTATCGCAAAATACGACACAGCGAATCTAAATTACTTATCAACAGAAATATTCAAATAACCGTTAAAGAATTTATGATTGGTTAATGGGATAATATTAATGATTAATATGAAGGTCAAATGCTAGTGCATGAATCATACGCTTTCATGCACATGCAAAAAAAGAAGTACTTGTTTCCGCCTGAATAGTACTTTCCTTCTAGCTAGTAAAACAAACACAAATTAATTTAATTTGAAGTTTAGCGCAGTGAATGCAAATTTGGCTTGCCCTCTCAAAAGTTCACTCATTGGAGAAAACAGTCAAGGAACATAACAAAGCTGTGCTGTCTAAACCGGAAATAAGCAGAGAGAATAATCGGTTATCATCCTTTGTCGATATTCGCACGCGCTGATATCACAATTCATGAGTATAACCAGAGTCGCCTCCAAGTTTAGAGAATTTAAGACTAGGATCAGATGAGATAAAGGCACAGCTAACTTCACCAGAAATTTAAATGGAGGCGCAATTAATCTCATTTCCGGAATGCTAATGAATAACTCAATCAATAAGCAATTTTTCTGGAGGTAATATGCATTATTTTCCAATGTAACCCATTTTAATGACGATAATTTTTTTTGCTGAGCCTTGTAGCTACCGAGACCACAAAAATCACTCTGACGTTAGCAGAAGACAAGAAAAAAGATGCGTCTAAAATTTGAACATTAGTTTAGCTAGCTTTTCCACACTGTGAAAGGGAACTAATCAAATTTTCAATAAACAAGCTATAAAAACCTGTTAAGACGTTTTCTTGAGGGCTTCCTTTAGAATTCATAAGACATTTATACAAAAATACAACGGCCCTCATGCCTGCAGAAATTTCTTTGGCTAGAGGCACATCAAAGTTACATTCAGGCTCCAAAGGAAAATTTAATTTTTAACTAACAGATCTTGTCAATGTATTAATAGAAATAATATTGTACGCAGTATGTAGCCTATTTATCAACGTTGAGTACTTTAAGAAGGTTAAAAACAAGAGTCACTTAGTCTACGCACAAAAATTGGCTTGGAGCTCACAAGATATAAAACGAATAAATTTGGTTCGATATCTAATGAAATTTACGTCCGACCAATATTCTGAGTTTGCAAATATCGAACTATTAGGTAGTGGTGAACATGTACTCATTTAATATAATTAGAAAAGCTATTGGCTATTTGAATTTGTGCAGAACTTACCAGTGTATAAAGACCAAATTCCTTCGAAAAAGAAAAAAGGACACAGCCCTTTTTGACATCTGCCATCCACTCGTATTTTTCCAAAAATCGTTGTTACGCTATCTAGCTAGTTAATTAGTTCTCGGCTTTAGTTTGTGCTTTAAATATCATAATCGAATAATTCTTGAAATTCCCCCCAGCCAAATTCACAGTCAATTTCTCTGGCGCATACTGTATATCAATGCACCAGTTCTCTACATTCGGACGCAAAAATTAAGCTGGATTCTAAATTACCCAACTCCTCCATCGTAAAGCCGAGTTTCATCATGAAAATATAGCTATCTCCAAGGGATATTCTGACAGTAATTGTCCCTCCTTGAAAGTCGCATGTCAGAAATATCACGCTATTGTGGAGAGATGTATTGCAGGATAAGTGCATGAAACCTTTCTTTACTCAAAACTTAGCTATTGTTTTAGGTATTGGACGGCTTTATAAATTGTGCACACTTTACTTAAGAAGAACTGTCAAAAAGAACTCTGGGTTTTGTGGACACTTGTCACCAAATCATCTAAGATTAAACTATATCTATAACACTGATAAAAAATGGTTATATATAAAATAACTATAATATGCATTTCCCTTATTTATGATTAATTTGTTCACCCGAGGCCCAAAAACAGATAATATTCGTTTAAATATCTACAGAGCGGCGGTCACTTTCAAAATGTCTGCTGCTGATGATGAGAGACGTAAAGACCGCCTTCGGAGACTCAAAGAACTCCACTTAAAAGTTGTATGTTACGCTTTTTTCGGTTCTTTGGGATGCTTTGTTATGTTTTATTTCATTTTGATTCTAACTTTTAGTTCTTGGGTATGATATAGTAGGAATTCTATTTCTTCCCTGTTTTCACACTTAAGCACTCATGAGAGTTGGAATCCAGCAATATCCTAAGTCTTTATAAGTTTCGAAGGCTTCATGTTCCTCCTCACTATCTCCTGAAATGCCATCTTTTTTTATGGCACTTCACTGTTTTTCACCGCCTATTATGCTGGTGTTTGTAACATGGTCGAAGGCGCTTTTGCTACGGCTATCTTATCTGAGCGATAAACTCAATTAGGGGGAGCCAGGACAACAGGACTAAATAAGTTACCTTGAGAAAGTAGCTGTCGCTATTAAGTAGGGTTTGTTATACTCCTCCCACAGTTCAAGTTTTGACACAGATTATTTCTTTTGACTATTTCAAACTTCGTGTCTTTCAGAATGAGGCGCGCAAGGCCAATCATGTTCAGGTCGTGGAAGAGGATCGTAGGAAGCATTTGCCTTCTAATTGGGAAGCGAAACAAGCCAGAATGAGGTGGGAGGAGGAGGAAGACGCATTCAAAGCCGAATGCTTGAAGAAGGGAATAGACCCTGAGCGCGCCAAGGCTCTTTCTATCAGCGCAGAACTTGTTAACCGCCTGGAATCGCGGAAAAGGCGCAAAAAGCCTTTTGTGGATCCTGATGACGCAGCCGATGGAAATGCTGCTGGTTTCACAACCTACGCCGACGCCTCACACCGGAAATACCTCAAGCAAGCTAAAGCCCTTAAACCTGATATGGCTGCCTACCAAAAGCAGAAAGAAAAACTGTGAGTGTAATGTGCACTTAATAGTGTGTCCTTGGATTAGTTAGTTAACTCTTCTTGTTCATGCTTTTGTTGTGTTAGGTAGATGATAAACCCTTTTTTAATGGTCATGACATTTTTTTGTACTTTAGTGGGGATCTTGCGTACCCGACAGCCCACACAATTGGACTTGTGGGAAATGAGACAGACAGTCGCGAGGCTATTGAAAACATGGCCAACAGTTTGAAGGAGCAGGCCAAGAAGAAGGCCTACAGTCGCCGTCGCGCTTTCGATCCTGACGCAGACATTGACTACATCAACGAGCGTAACAAACGCTACAACGAACTCCTCGACAGGCACTACGGGAAGTACACCGCTGAGATCAAACAGAATTTGGAGCGTGGAACGGCACTTTAGAGTTCTCTCAAGACTAGATTTGTACATATTTTTTGTCTTCTACAACGAGTAAATGTTTTCTCTGCTGATTGGCTTGCTATAAATGGCAATATTATACTTCACAGTATTAAATTAAATTGTCATCGCCACAAATCTCTGCATCAGATGTCAATCGTATCCCGCTTTTTCCTACCTGCGTTCACAGACACCGCACGCTTAATCGCACTGTGGATGG